CGTGGGTAGAAGCTGAAGGGTGGATTTCGAGCTAATCAACGAAATATACAATTACCACCGCATTTAGAACTTCTCTCACTACCAGACAACTTCGTCGTATAAATACTGTTGTTGTGCTGGCTCAACAAAGTGAACATGAAATGTAGCTTGTCTTCTCTCACGAACACGCTTAAACTCCGTTCTAAAAACACACAAACCTATCAATGGAAGCTTGTTGCACAGCAGTTGACGAAGGTGCGGTAGTAGAATGCACTGCTCAGAGGCTTTGAACAAGCACACTAAGTTGTCGATTCACCCACACTTGCATTTCATAATAATTCGCATCTAGCCCATTCCAATAACAACTCTCGGTAATGCTTCACGCAAATGAGGTAACGTCACGAAACCCATCATACAAATATGTTTCGTCCAAGTGACTTTGCGCCAACCAAAAGACGACAGACCATGACTGCCAATTCCTTGTTTCTCACGTCCTTCGCGCAGCCCTTCAATACCAGATTGCAACTCTCCCAACGCTTCTTAAGCAAACCAATCTATCGCTGCTTATCCACAAGAAGTCCACCCACCACCAACCCACGTGCCTAAGCCAAGCGCCACCTCACCGCCCAGTACTTTATGTCACTCCCTCCCTTCTAGAAGCAAATAGTGGCATAAAAATAGCATTCGAGGCAGGCCTGTGTCGCAATGGCGAACACTTACACGTTGCGATCCCCACTGCCTTGCTAAAATAATGCATTTCCTACGATGCCCTTTCCAGTTTATTACCTCGCATTACAAAAGTCACACAAAATTGCACCTTTGGCCTATGCTACAAGTAAGACCACGACTAAATTATGGCATATTCTCCGGGTGACACTCAAACCAGCATTCAACTAGGGTGTCAAATGGTCCCAAACAAACAGCCAAAGCGGCTATGAAGAAGAAATAATACCTGCTGCTGTTAAACCGAATCCCACTTCTTTACAAATATTTCAAACAATTTGTTGGCCGGAACTAGTTCAGTTATTCTAGGAAAAAATGTACACACGTAGAATACCTTTATGGACATGATCATCCGGGGTCGCTGACCGTGTCAGTTCATCTTAGCACATATTTAAAATATCCAAGTCTTGCAAAGAAGGGCGAGGACTAACTTCTCCGTGGCAGGATGGCAGACCATACATATCAGCGTAAGTTAATACAATCTGGATTGATGACAGATGCAAAACAAAAACATGAATTGCATCACCAACTCTGCACTCATCTTCTACAATACGCTACCCATTACAGGCAGGTGCGTAGGAGTGACGGAAGAGGTAACTCATCTCCACAGACATGCGCGCTCTGTATCACGATAATGTTTCCATCTCGCAGAGTTGTCAATAACTGCATTTAAATGTTTAAACTCGGCATAATTTGCACTGTGGATACAGAGCACTCCACACATCCAGGAACGATACACCTTCAAACACAGGGAATGAATAAGGAATCACAGAACTGTTCCACGAAAACATCACTGCAGGAAAACCAAATCCGGCTGACATCCGCTCCCATCCTAATATACAACATCCTCAAGTGTTTAACGTTCCACCAACTGGCAAAGAAGCATAGGTGCAGGGTAGCAAATGACTCACTCGCATCTGTGGGAAATCATGCAAACGCCATCAACTTCCACAAACACCTCACAAAGGTGGCCACAACAGAGGATACCACTCCAACCAAACATTCCCACCCTCCCTTCCTATGTGCACATATACCTCGACAACATCAAGCAAAACGATTGTTTCATTCACTTCGTTCAAGTCCCCACTAGCACAACAATAACAAATCCAATGCGCTAATAAAGCCCACTATTCAGTGAACAACTCACCAGCAAAGACAGTCACCTCCTCCATCCCAACGAGGCTGACACAGGAGAGCAAAGAAGCGAACACAAACACCACTGAAAGCACTTCTTCTCCTCCAGCCACACCAGTAACGGCTCTCACATTTACTGGATGAAATGCGACAAGAAACACGACCGCCAAATTGCCAGCAAGGTTAAGGAAGTATAGCAAAAATCGACAAAGGTCCTGGACGACGAAGGCGCGCAGCAGAACATTAAGCAAACGCTATTTTCAGGCTTCGAGACAGGACAGGGCGAAGTTTCAGTGATAAGTGAAAAATGTGAGGTGGACGACAGGACTTTCGACTCAATTGGTGACCCATTGGAGTGCCCCACAATATATAGTTGAAGAAGAGGGCCTATTAGGGGTGGATTTGAGAACGGTGGTCTTGACTATCAACCGCCGCAGAGACGTGGTCAAAAGCAAATCCACAA